TCTGTGAGAGATCCACATCCCCTGCAGCTTTGGCTCGGGCATCTCGGTCATCTCAGAGCATTCAAAATGCAATCGATATGACTGTGGGAACGAAGAGGCAGTTCAAGCATCTCCCTATCTTGCTTTAACCTAGTGGTACTCCTTTGCCCAGATCCTTCCGACCACTGCGTAATCCCGAATTTGGTTGGTTGTTTTGGGTAGTCTGTAACTTCACCCGTTGACTCTCCGGTTGCAAGGAAGTAGTTTCCGGCACAGATATAGACATCGTCTGTGTCTGCTCTCCATAATGAAAATATAGGCATCCGGCTAAGATACATGCATTCGTTCCACCAATAATTGCAAGGCCTGACGGCCGTCATCCGGCTTGTTTGATCCCAACACTCGTGTAAAGCGTGGTACTCCGGCTTTCCATCCTGATCTTGCCAGTGCACATGAAGAGTCTTTGCTTCAACTTTGCTTCCTCCTCCATGTCCTCCCTGGCTACCTTCCAGAGGCCGAAAGTGCCATCACACTCTGTCACGACAATGTCACAGCAATCGTGCGCCTGCACATCGTGCGCGGACCTGGCGAGGTTGGTCTGGAAGAAAGTAGAAACAACAACCATACATCGAAATTAGAAATGAATCTGTTAACTTACAGTTTTTTTTTGTGAATAATTTTTTTTAGCCTCCCATGTTTACAGTTTTACGGATATTTTGCTTTCAGAATGTGTAGAATCACACTTTCCTTTGTTGGCCGTAGTTGCATATCACAATCTAAAGCAGCTTTATCTAAGCGCCTTTGGTGCCTATCCAACCCAATTGTTTTGGATCATAGAACCTACTCTTCAAATTGAACCTAAAGGTTCAGCACCCGCCTCGAAGAGGCCTAATCCCAAGTCATGAGGGAGGTTAGAAATTTGATGCAGGAGGTGCTTGTTCGACTCGAGCCTGAGCCATTGTTCTTCTTCTTCATCTCCGCGTGTTTTTTGTCTGCCTTTTGAATTAGAATGCAAACACACCTAACCAAGCTAGTTTTGTAGGTACTAAGGCCCGAAAGCACACGGCATGCACCTACATTCTTGAAATTGAGCACGAGATCAAGAGTTATGCAGGAGATGCTTGTTCGACTTGAGCCTGGCCCATGTATTGTCTTCGTATTTTTTCTCTTTCTCAACCATGAATTTGGCATGCACTTAACTAAGCCTATTTCCATGCTATGAAGGCTCAGAAGCACACGGCGTGCACCTGCATTCTTTGTCAAGAATCTGCAGGAGATGCTCGTTCTACTCGAGCCTGGGCCATAGTTATGGGATGCTGAGTTTTTTTTCTCAGCCATGTACATAATTTTGACCACACCTAACCGAGTTGATCTGGTAAATATGAAGGCCCGGAAGCACACAGTGTGCACCTGCATTTCATAGCCAAGTGTGATCAAGTGTACTGCAGGAGGTGCTTGCTCGACTCGAGCCTGGGCCATATTTTCTCTTTGGTCTTACTTTTTCCCCACTTGCCTTGAAATTTGGAACATAGCTAACCCGATCGATTTCGTAGTAACGAAGGTTCAGAAGCACATGGTGTGCACCTGCATTCTTTCAACGATAAGAGAGATTATGCAGGAGGTGCTCGTTCAACTCGAGCCTGGGCCATGATCGGGTAGCGGCATTTTTTTTCAGTCATTGAATTCAAAGACACCTCAGCAAGTTAATTTCGTAGATATGAAGGCCCAGAAGCACACGGTGTGCACCTGCATTCCCTTCGTTTCCGGTAGCTTTAAAGTTAAAGCAGGAGGAGCTCGTTCAACTCGAGCCTGGGCCATATTCAATTTCTTGATTCTTCTTTTGTCTCCGCCGCGTAATTTTGAACACATCTAACCAAGCTGATTTCCCTGCTATGAAGATCCAGGAGCACACGGTGTGCACATGTATTCCTTGTCAAGAATGATGAAGAGTTCTGCAGGAGATGCTCGTTCGACTCGAGCCTAGGTCATTGAGTTGCAATCTCTGCACTTTTTTTTTGGCCTCGCTATGCAGTTTTGAACACACCTAACCACATTGATTTCCTTGTTATAAAGACCTAGGAGCACACAGTGTGCATCTGCATTGTTTAAGTCGAGCACGAGATCAAGAGTTATGCAGGAGATGCTCGTTCGACTCGAGCCTGGGCCATTCGGTATATATGGACACCTTTTTTTCTCCCCCAATTCATTCAGTTCAAATCGGAACCACCCTAAGCAAGCCGATTTCCGTGCAATGAAGGCCCGGAAGCACACGGCGTGCACCTGCTTTCTCTGAACGAGGTCAGAGATTTGATGCAGGAGGTGCTCGTTCGATTCGAGCCTGGGGCATTCAGTGTAGACACCTTTTTTTCTCCCTGAATCTCATTCAAGTTGACTTCGAACACACCTAGCCACGTTGGTTTCCCTGCTGTGAAGGCCCAGAAGCACATGATGTGCACCTGCACTCTTTAATAGTTGGCGTGTGACATAATGCAGGAGGTGCTCGTTCGACTCGAGCCTGGGCCATGTATTGTCTTCGTAGTTTTTCTCTCTCTCAACCATGGATTTGGCATGCACTTAACCAGGCCGTTTTCCGTGCTATGAAGGCCTAGGAGCACACGGTGTGCACCTGCATTCTTTAAGTTGAGAGGAGATGAAGAGTCATGCAGGAAATGCTCGTTCGACTCGAGCCTGGGCCATGATTCCTGCCGCTGCTCTTTTTATCTCTGCCATGTGGTTTTGAGCACCTAAACAGGCTTATTTCCCTGCTACGGAGGCCCAGAAGCACACGGCGTGCACCTGCATTCTTTGGATGAAGGATAGACAGTTCTGTGGAGGGGGCTCGTTCGACTCGAGCCTGGGTCATTTGCTGTAGACACCTTTTTTTCTCTCTCTCAATCGCATTCAGTTCAAATTCAAAACATACCTAACCAGGTTAAAATTGCAGACATGAAGGCCCAGAAGCACACGGTGTGCACCTGCATTTCATCAGGGCGGTAAGGAATTTGATGCAGGAGGTGCTCGTTCGACTCGAGCCTGGGCCATAGCTGTGGGATGCCGATCTTTTTTTCTCAGCCATGTAATTTTGAGCATAGCTAACCCAGTCCATTTGTTAGATATCAAAGCCCAGGAGCACATGATGTGCACCTGCATTCTTGAGAGTGTCTCCACAACTGTTAGTACAGGAGGTGTTCGTTCGACTCGAGCCTGGGCCATCACTCAGCTCTCTCAGCTCTCTTTTATTACCATTCTATTCTGAGTTAAAACAGACCTAACCAGGTTAATTTCGTAGTAATAAAGGTCCTGAGGCACACGGTGTGCACCTGCATTCAATCCACATCATCCATGAGACCGCTTATGCAGAAGGTGCTCGTTCGACTCGAGCCTGGGCCATAGGCTGTATGTGTGCTATTTTTTCTCACTCAGTCTCATTCAGTTCAAATTGAAACACACCTCAGCAAGTGAATTTGGTAGATATGAAGGCCCAGAAGCACATGGTGTGCACCTGCAGTCTGTGGATTGAGCATGATATCAAGAGTTATGCAGGAGGTGCTCGTTCGACTCGAGCCTGGCCGTAGAGTCGGAGTCCTCTTTTTTCCCCCTCAGTTATGAGATTTTGAACACCTTTAACCAAGTTAAATTTGTAGATATGGAGGCCCAGAAGCACACGGCGTGCACCTGCATTCTTTGGACGGCGAGAATGATTATGCAGGAGGTGCTCGTTCGACTCGAGCCTGGGCCATGATCGGGTGGCGGCATTTTTTTTCTCTGCCATAATTTTGAACACACCTAACTAGATTAAAATTGTAGATATGAAGGCCCAGGAGCGCACGGTGTGCACCTGCATTTAATATACAAGTGTGAAAAGTGTACTGCAGGAGGTGCTCGTTCGACTCGAGCCTGGGTCATGGATTCACTAACTGTTGCTTTTTTTCAGTTATTGAATTTGGAACACACCTAGCCAGGGTAAAATTGCAGATATGAAGGGCCAGAAGCACATGGTGTGCACCTGCACTCGTTGAGGAAATATGTGTTTGACAAGCAGGAGGCGCTCGTTCGACTCGAGCCTGGGCCATGTATCACTCAGCTCTTTCAGCTCTCTTTTTTCTACCATTCTATTCTGAATTAAAACAGACCTAATCAGGTTAAAATTGCAGATATGAAAACCCGGAAGCACACAGTGTGCACCTGCACTCTTAGGGAAAATGGCTTGTATTAATAAAAGCAGGAGCTGCTCGTTCAACTCGAGCATGGGCCATGTCTCCGCACCGTCCCATTTCTTTTTCTCTCCGCCGTGTCATTTTGAACACACTCAACCAGGCTCATTTCCATGCTATGAAGGCCTAGAAGCACACGGTGTGCACCTGCACTCTTTAATAGTTGCCGTTTGACATAACGCAGGAGGTGCTCGTTCGACTCGAGCCTGGGCCATACTCAATTTCTTGATTCTTCTTTTGTCTCCACCGCGTAATTTTGAACACACCTAATCAAGTTAAATTTGCAGATATGAAGGCCCCGAAGTACACGGCGTGCACCTGCATTTCATAGCCAAGCGTGATCAAGAGTTCTGCAGGAGGTACTCGTTCGACTTGAGCCTGGGTCATTCTTGAGGGGAGCTGTCTCTTTTTGTCTCTGCCATGTACATAATTTTGAACACACCTAACCAAGTTGATTTGGTAGGTATGAAGGCCCAGGAGCACACGGTGTGCACCTGCACTCTTTGGGTTGTATGGCTGGAATGAGCAGGAGGAGCTCGTTCGACTCGAGCCTGGGCCATGATTCCTGCCGCTGCTCTTTTTATCTCTGCCATGTGGTTTTGAGCACCTAAGCAGGCTCATTTCCCTGCTATGAAGGCCCAGAAGCACATGGTGTGCACCCGCACTCTTTAATAGTTGGCTTGAAGTAAATCAGGAGCTGCTCGTTCGACTCGAGCCTGGGCCATGTCTCCGCACCGTCCCATTTCTTTTTCTCTCCGCGGTGTAATTTTGAACACCTTTAACCAAGTTAAATTTCCCTGCTATGAAGGCCCGGAAGCACATGGTGTGCACCTGCATTTCTTTACGTCGAGGAGAGGGATAAAGTGTACTGCAGGAGGCGCTCGTTCGACCCGAGCCCGGGCCATGTATCCCACGAGTTGAAGCCTTTTTTCCTCCCTCAATAGAGAGTTTGCGCTGCAGCCATCCAAGCCATCAGTTGGCATTTTTGCAGTGCGCAAATTGATGGCTCATGGCTCGGATGGCTCTGATAACTGAGATTAATTGGACATGTTTATGTCGCTTGGGGGTGCACAAGGACTATACATAACTGGGGAGCCCATTCGGGGTTTTCTTCTGTCACGACACCAAATTTAGGCACCGGTTTTGGTATTCCGGGGAATTTAAATGCGCAGAGCATGTTGCTATGGCCTTTGTTGAGGCAGACATTTTTATTGACTGGCATAGATGTCTCCCTGACTCAGAGGATGCATTTATTTAATTGGTGGACTCAGCCATCAGCCATCTGTTTGCGCACTGCAAAAATGCCATCTGTTGGCTCTGATGGCTGCAGCGCAAACAGGCTAATCTCATCCAGTTCAAATTCAAATGCACCCTACCAAGCTCATTTTGTAGATGTAAAAGCCCAGAGGCACACATCGTCCACCCGCATTCTTTCATAACACTCGGAGATACCGCCTTGCTCGGCCTCTGGCTAAGCCGCCCGTCGCCAAGTCTCCTGGCCGGAGCCAGGACCTGGAGACTATATACCTTTGCTCGCGCGCTCGGACCTCGAATAACAAACAAGGCTAGCACAAGTCACGGGAAATTTGGCTCATTTTCCGTGCTCGCGAGCCCGTTTTCCCGGTACTTGGGGCTACTACTAAGTAGTACAATACAAAGCTAATGAAGTCAGTACTAATCTAATAGATTTGGGCGCGTCTAAAAGTCAAATGAACTGGAATTCGGCAAGGCAAGTGAGCACGAACAAGGTAGGTATATTCCTGCGCGGTCCCGTTAAGAAACAGCAAAGAGATTGAAGGAAAATAACAACTCACCCATTCATTCAAATACCGCAGAGTGGATGAAAACGGTTGCGCGTGCTGTCTTATAGTCCAAGCCAAGCCACGAATCACATCTGAAACAGATTTGAAATCACCAACCGAGTTGGCACGCACAAGACATCGCCGCGCAGCAGAAGAATATGCTTGATAGGAGTGCTGCACAGTGAGAGAAAGATAAAGATAAAGCAGGAAATCGACGGTGTTCAGCACACTAAGACACAGCTAAGCGTCCAACTTGAAGCCTTGAGTTCGAGCGCCGCGCAGCAGAAGGAAAAATAATTAAACACCGTTACACGGGAAGACAAATGAATGGATTAAATCCATTGAATCCCAGCTCACGTGAAGCCCGCGCAGAAGATTTACACAAGCGTTGGAGAGCGGGAATTGATACGCTTGTGGGGCGGGAAATGAGGCGCTTGCAGGACGTCTATACGTTTTGTCGGGAAATAGGCGCTCTGCGGACGGCGACACACCGATATATCGTGTCGGGGCTCGTGAGAGTTCCGTGAAGCGGAGATTTTGGTGATTTTGAACGGTAGAGAGGGTGGGAAATGGGTGTTCGCGGGGACGTCGTGTCGGGAGCTGGCCGCCGCGCGGCGGAAATTTTGGTGATTTTGAAGGGCGGAGAGGGTGGGAATTTGGCACTAGGCGGTACGTCCTGAGAGGAAAAGGAAGGGGTTAGCGATGAGATGGAGATAGCGCGAGAAGGGAAGTATGTACGTACCCCGCTCGTGGGAAGTCTAAAGCCAAAATTTGAATGTGGAGGCGGCGGCACGTTGATGGCGCGATGGCCGGGAGCGCGTTGATGTCGGGTTGATAGGCGGCCGGTGTGAACGCGAACTGAACGCGAGGAGTTGGCGCAGGGAAAAGAAGGCGGAGAGAAGAACGTAGGTACGCACGCGTAACCTCGTTCGCGGGAACCGAAAAATACAATAAAAATGTCGAGGCCAGCGGTGCCTCGATGGCGCAATGATAGCGAGCCGCGCTTTGAGGGTGCGTCGAAGGCGGTGCGCGCGATCGCGAACTGAAATGAGAAAGGTGAGCGACTAGATAAAGATGCGCGGGGAAGGGATGTACCCGTAACCTTGCTCGCGGGAACACGAAATCCAAAATTTAAATCTTGAGGGCGGCGGTGCGTTAATGGCGCGATGGTGAGCGCGTCGGGGCGCGGCGAAGCAACATGTCAGCGATCAAACCACGAACGTCGTGGGGACAAATGTACAGATACCCCGCTCGCGGGAACTGTAAGTCTAAAATTTAAATATCGGCGGCAGCTCGACGATGGCGAGTGGAGGACGCGTTGATGAGCGATAGCGGCGCGCGCTAGTGGAACTGGAAGCGACATCTCAGTGATTAGATCAAGAAAGCGCGAGAAGCAACGTACGCGTAGCCTTGACACAAAATCCGGAGCTTAAACTGTCGGACAGCGTGCTGATGCCGGGAGCACGTTGGTGGCACCAGAGCAGCGGCGAGCGTGTCTAGGGCGCGTTGAAGGCAGTCACGGGAAGCCCCAACATTGAATGTGAGTTCGACGGTGTTGACGGCGGCGCTGCCGCGCGGAGTTGGTCGCGGGAAGGGCAAAAATGAAGTGAGAATCCCGAGGGTATGCGCGCGTTAATGGGGTGGTGCGTAGCTGCTGTGAGAGTCCTGTAAGAGACATGCCATGCGAGGATTAATGGAACGTACTTGAATACGCGTCGGGACGGTGGCGGGCACGCCAAAAATCGAATCATAATTTGCGCGAACTTGAAATATACAATTTAAATGTTGAAGGCGGCGGAGCGTCGATGGCGCGCCGAGGGCGCTCGCGGGAAGGCCAAAAATGGAATGTGCGTTCGAAGGGCGCCGAAGGCGGTGGAGATCTGCTGAGACTGAGGTAAGCCACACGACGCGCAAGAGAGGAATCGGCAAGACTCGCCTGCGATAAGTAGCAGCGCCTCACTCGCCGCCATGTTCGGGCCGCTCACGGGACGGCGATATATCGTGAAATCGGAATGAGCAAAAAACGAGGATCACGGGAGCGGACGACGGAGATTCGCGTCACGGTTCCTTTGGCGCATCGAATCAACATAATGATCGTACCGAGCCTCTTGCTCCCAACCACCATCATCTCAAAAATAAGATGCTGGATTCTGGCTCAGTACCCTCCCCAGTGGATCTACGATAGATGGGGCTTGCATGGATGGACAGCTAGCCCTGTCGACTCGAGACCCTGAGTGATTGGGCTGAGTCGGTCGACGTCGCCGTCCGATGTTTTCTGCAGCGACAGGTACCACCGACCGCGGGGCCATACATGTAAAGCACGTAAAGACTCTTAGAATGTACTCTGGTCACTGGCCATGGACCAGGAGACATTTACAAGGCTTGCAAAATGTGGGCATTTTTCATGGCGCGGCAGGGACAAAGCTCTAGACCCTGTGAGTGTGTCCTACGCGGTCCCGGCCCGGTGATGGCGTGCTTTGACGTCCGGTGATTGCTTTGACCTCCGGATCTTTTCGGCATGGCACATCAGATAAGATAAGATTTCGTTCAGAGCGGCAGATTGCAGGCTTTGGGCTAGCCCTTTCTGCTCGCCAGTTTCTCGCCCCCTATTATTTTATTTAGTTTTGTAGATAGTTTGCATGCGTGCCTGGAGGGACTGTTGAGGCGACGTACCGGTTCATCTTCTGGTCGGCGGGGATTCATGGTTGATGGCAAGGAATTGCTGTCGGCTACCCACGAGGTTTTAACCGCACGGCCCACCTGTTGTGGCCACAACAGGTCGGGAAGATTCCTGGATGCTTAGCTTTTCCGCCCCCCTTCAGTAGTGCGTGTGTTCCTCGTAAAGACAAGTGACCATTTAGCCTACAATCAGTTACCAAATGTCTTCGTAGTAAACTGGCTGTTCCAATTGTGGGACTGTGTCAGTATAATTTACTTCCTTCCTTCCTTCCGATTGCCGTTCGGCACATCAATCGAATTCAATTCATTTTTCCTCAATTCAATTCAACTCAATACAACGCAAATTTGCCTCGAGATATTCCATGCGTTCCTGGCCCTGCTCCACCCATATCTCTCATATCTTACCGCTCAAAACGACGAGAGACCCACAAGAAGCCCCGCGCAAGCCGCACGTCAGACAGCAGCCTCGATGCCGTAAGCGCGTTGCTAAGGACGGCCCGGGCGGTTGCGTCTCCTCCCCGCAAACGCCAACTCCGCACAAAAGCGTCCGGCGGCCAATCAATCCGCCTGCGCCGCTCTATGCCCGTTGTCAACCAGCAACAGCAGGGTTCGAGTTTAAACCGCATCATGTCCAACGATGCCCCTGGGTTCGAACCGGTTCGAACCAACCTGGTTCGAACCATGAGTGTCCATAGACCATGGTACATCAAAAAGATTTGAGAAAATCACCTGAAATTGGCGAGTTTTAGGCCGATTGTGGCAGACCACGCTTGCGGCGATCATCGGTCCTTGCACCATGCACAAACGAGTGTACAAACGGTCCGAGTTTGAAAAACTTTGTCGTGGTCTGGTTCTCCCATCTGCTTTCCAGTATTCCGCAGTTCAGATTTTGCAACACGAGGCATGAGAGGAGGGGTGCGATTTCTTTTGTTTGTGTATGTGTCGCCTCCTGTGAATTGATCCACTATTCCAGCGCAATTGCTTGGCCGCTGTACTCCCGATGTACTAGATATTTCAGCACATCACATTTGCTATGCGGAAAAGTCTCCTGCATTTTTTCCTGGCTGAAAAACACATTATTCTTCAAGCATGGTTGCAACAAGAGGTGGGCGGGCCGAAAACCCCTGATATTAACCTCTCAAGTCTGGAAGGTGGCTGTACCCCCCACCCCCACCCCCCCCGTCGTGACCGGTTGATCGGACCGACCGGCTGCGGACCGATCTCCGCAGGCTTGGCGTCACCAGTTCTCTTCATTAGAGCTCGCGGGCTGGCGGTTGAGCACTATCTGAGCAACAGAAATGATATCTATTAGCCATTCACATACCGGTACATAATTTTCTGACCCATTTCATGCCTTTTTTTGGCATGTCGGCAGTAGTACATGGACACACAACGCAACACATGCCACATACATGCTTCACCC